AATAAATAATACATATTTGGATTGTCTCTAAAATCGTCGAATAAAAATTGGAAACTGGAATCACAGTATACAATTTCCATTACTCTCGGAATAGAAAATACATCCTTACTGCACATAGCGAGAGAGAATAACATTTGTCCTACCAAAAGTGCGTTGGATAATTCATAGTAAATTTCCCTAAAGACGAATAAATTAATGTAAACTTTCCACAATTGTAATTTATTAATGATAAATGAATAAATATTTTACTATATAAATTTGCGATTTAAATCGTGGCCACACGACAAATGATCTCAGTCGAAAGTTATTTCCAATGATCGACGGTGTCGCATACATCATTTCTCTGTACCGATAAAGTCCCACCTGCGGAGTAACTTCCTCGACAACATACGCGAAGGATTATGGAAATTCGAAAGCTCCGGGGTTTCTACGTTGTTTGAATAAATTCAAGGTTCACACGAAGTACTGATATCGCCAAAGTGTTCGCACGGATTTATTCTTAAGAAGAACAGTGGTATGCACTACAAAATTCAATTTCAATATGCGTGCCAATGCATATTGAGAAAATTAGAGAGCTTTGGTTGTTCCTTTGCGATTCAAATATGCTTTTGCCTCTCTTTTTGATGCCTACAGTATATATTGCACGAATAACATACGAATGAACACATTTATTTGATTCCATTAGATGAAACAAGTTTTTCTGTATGAATGTTTATCGCTTTTCGTATAAAAAAAGACCAGATATGTTTGTGTTATTTATATATATTTCATTTTCTTTTCTGATTTAATTCCTTCATCTTAATCAAAATTTAATAAAAATAATTGTCTTCTGTATTTAGTGTGATTAATGATTCTCTCTCTCCTCCCCCCTCCCTTTCTCTTTTTCTTTCCGTCTTTTCCTTTCTTTATATATTTTTACACTAATAAGAAAAAAAAGTTTTGTGTTTGTAACTATAATTACATGTTACTAAGAGTATGATTATTATTGTTATAAAATTAATAATAACTATACGTACAGCTTTTGTTACTAAAACAGTAATTTATAATACTACACTGTTAGAAATTTCTCAATGAATTTTAATTAACATGTAAAGGAAGCATGTGGTTATGCACGAAATTAAATGTAATGAATGGTGTAAATAAAAACTAAATTACAGTAGTCTTAAATGTGATGAACATGTATATCGAAATTAATCAACACATTATTATAGAAATTAATTTACACGTTAATGAAAAGTACGAGATCTATAACTGAAAAGTAATTTACGTTAATGACATGTAAGAAACGTAAACGTATTAAACGTTAAGCGTTAATAGTATTAGGCTTAATTAAAATATTATTAATATTCGTAAATGTAAAAGTACATTAAATTTCATTAATATGTACATTAATAGTTATTTCAATTACGATTAATTAAATGTCATTTATATCCGTAAATGAAAAGTATATTAAATTTCATTACACTTAATTTTTCAATTACTGTAAACTTAAATCTCATTAACATGTGCATTAATAGTCCTTTCAGTTACAGAAAAATTAAACTTCATTCACCAATATACATTAAAACTTAATGAAATTTAAGAACATTTCTAACAGTATATAACATATTTATAATACTATAATATCATAATTATAGTAACATATTGTAAAAAAATGTTTTCAACTGAAACACCATTAAGGAGAGAACATAACAATGCAAATATAGTTTTATTAAAATAAAAGAATTATAAGCAATGGAAAAAGCATTGGAAAAAATATGCCATATCGAGAAAGCGTTTTAGGATTAATTATTACATACTAAAGCACTTTAGTACGCTAGCTTTTGAAGACATGGGCAGCATTTTTTTCCGAGAGCAATTTCATTGACATATGTTTGGCATTTGGTCACAAAATTTCGTTTCTTCGATCCCGCTGGGAAGGCAGTCGAGCGGAAGGAACGAATTCATGAGTGGATACGATTTATTGCTCATATTTACATAAACAGGAAACATGACACAAATGTGCCGGTCCGCGAAAAATTCGCAATTTATGCGACACGATGGCTGTTCGCGCATTTGAACCACTAAATGGAACGTTCGGGAGGGAACAGAATAATAAGCGGGTGAAAAAAGTTTCGGCTTGAAAGCTCCCGTGAAATGAAAATTATGTCGCAAGAAGAAGAGTGTGCGCGAGTTGTATATTATTACATTGCAGAAACCCGACGTCAAGAGTAGAGTACCTACATTTCGCGTTTTCGATATGGAATACCATTTTTAATGCTGAACACGTAAATTGAATGAAAAGAAGAAAGTAAAAAAGTTGAAGTCCCAAACTTTGCGACACGTCTTTGTCAAGAATATTCGACTGTGAATTATACGTATAGTACTTGACCACAATAATGAAATAAAAAAATAATAATAAACGCAGTTGAAATTGAAAAAGGAATCGCACGATTTATATGGAAAAAAGTTTTTAGTCAAAATTTCAGTCAATTTTTGCTTTAATTTTTTATACATTACAGATCTTGAATCCCTAGTAAAAAAATCTCAATTTATAGAACACTTTTATGTTCTATAACTCGTTCGCGGAGAGAACAACCATGATTCGTGCAAGTTGTGATCAAGTTGGAGGATTCGAGCATGTTACTCAATGCCGCATGCACTTTTTTATTGTTGCACATTTGGACTGCCTAAGGATATGACAAACAACGCATGCGACATTGTAACGTGTTCGAATCTCCTGCCAACCTGATTACAACGCACGGATCGTGGTGTTCTCTCCGTGAACGAGATATATGGACACAGAAATGTTCTATAAATTGAAATTTTTTTTATTAGGGATGCAAGAATTGTAATACATAAAAAATTCAAGCAAAAACTACTTAAAAAATTTTTTTCATAATTTCTGAATTAAAAATATTTAAGTCTTCTATGAAATCTGTTCGTACGTTTGCATACACGAGTTTGCACTTGTGTGTCTGTCCTCATATGAATGTATTTCGATACTTATGTATGAATGCCTTGATGTGATTGCGCGCGTGCTCAGTACTAAAAATCTATATACATGTAATATAAATTATAGAAAACAGAGCTACAATTTATGGGACAATTATTTTTGATATGAAAACTTTGAAAAAGAGACCATCGGTAATCACAACACGTTCAGAGGGCTACATTATCAAAATGTCATACTACTGATTCACTTTGCATAACTCGAAATGCATAGCCAAATAAAATGTTAATTAACAAAGAACAAATATACATATATTCGCGGGATAATACGTTTAAGAATAGGGAAATATGCGTAAATAAACGCTAAAATGTATATTAAAAACGTTTCAAAATGATTAAAAGTAAAAATACATTATAATAAATGCTAATTATTATATATTGGCATATTAGCGTCGATAACAGCGAGCTACTAAACTTGCTAATAATTCTATAAGTAATGGCTAGAATCCACCACTTAATAGCGGAGATATTAAGACGAGTCATTATATCTACACTGCACTGAGAAAAATTTCCGGGCTTTATCCGTTCAAAAAGTAACAAACAGATATTTCCGATTGATTATGATCGAATTTATAAGATTATCCGATCAAATTCATCGGATAGTCCTGTAAATCCGTTAAATTTGATCGGATAGTCTTATAAATCCGATCAAAATCAATCGGAAATATCTGTTTGTTACTTTTTGAACGGACATTTTTCTCAGTGTGGCCATAATACCTTTTCTAATGTTGTATTTGTGCTTCAACAAAAAACGCGGAATGTAATTGTCGCGAGGATAAATGATCAATATTCCGCAAGTAACAAATCAATATTCCGCAAGTGACAAATAAAGAAATAAATAATAAATTACCTATAGTTGCTCCGACGTTGCCTGATGCCAGGACTACCTTTCTGATGTCTCCTTGGCAGCTTCCTTGTTGCACTAGAGCACTCCCGAAAACACGATCGCGCACCGATAATCAGAATACAACAATCGCGCGATACTTTATACGGCATTCCTAATATTAATCCCGATGCGCACTTTATAACATAACGAAATAACACCGAGTGAAAAAACGATTCAACGAAACTGAGACTCGTTTACTCGTCGGCAGTCCTTTTGTCTCTCCATGACGCTTTTTCATTACGTTCACACACACTCGCGCAAATGAAACTATAATCACGCACGAATGACCTACGAATCGCGACAATCGCGCGAAACTGTCCTCTCGAAAATTAATCACTTCGTAATAACGCGGATCATATATCACGAAAGATTCGAACGAAGCTACGATTTCGCTTGACCCCGCGACATTCCGTGTATTAGAGAACTAAACGCAACGAACTGAACGAAAAC